TCTCTGGTAACGGCTTCAAACCTGCGCCAACAGCAGGGCCTCCCGTCGGCTCGAGCCCAGCTGCCTCTGAAAGCCACTGCGTGGTGACTCATGCCCCGCAGCCCACGGCTGACAGTCGCCGCAGTGACTTTCACTTGCAGTTTCTCATCTCCAATCTTAACCGGGGGCAGCGCCCCCCCGCAGCCGCCTGCTTCCCCTTTCCCTTCCAGCCGCTGCCTCCACTCACTTCCCTGGGAAAGGGGGGCTGGAGGCCACGCTGTGCTCCGCACCCTGACCCCTTCCCTCCTGTCCTGGGCCCACTGCTGCTTGCACATTCCTGGGACCAGCTCTGTCTTCTCCATGAATTGCTCCCCATCCTGCTCAGCCCCGTCGCGTGCATCAGACTTGGTCACTGCCTTTGAGCAACCAAACTCCTGACCGGAGGAGTGAGTGGGTGAAGGTGGACATACGGACAGCGGGCTATTACGCAGCCATAAAACATAAAACACGGCACTGCCGCGTGCTACTCCCCGCGTCATGAGAGTTTCATGCTAATCAAGTCGGACGGAAAGGACGAGAACCACATGGTTCCACTTACCTGAGGGACGTAAAGCAACGAGGAGAAATGCAGCAGCCCAGTGGTTACCAGGGTGGGGGCAGAACGAGGGAGGTTGGATCCAGGTGACGAGGAGCCGGGACTGGGGGTGGTGAATGTGCACCAGGCTTCACAGAGGCACAGTGCGCACCCGAAAGTTAATGCCAACCAACGTCACCCTGACAATTAAGATGGGTCCCTTCCAGCTGCGGCCCTGCCCTTTACTGCTGTCCCCCCTTGGTCTTTGGTCCCTGTCCCCATGGCGCCGCTCCCTGTGGCCGGTCCGTTGGCCTGCCGTGGGCTCTCCCAGTGGTACTGGAGGTGGCTGTCCTCAGCCTTTCTCTCCCCTGGGCTTCCAGGCCACTGATTCCTATTCTCCTCCTCTACCTGCACTTAACCCTGCCCGCCCCCCAACATGGTCTCCCCCAGCCGTCCAACACCTGCGGCCACCAGGTCAGAGGGCACCTGCGTCTGCCGCTCCTCCCCCCTCTGTCATCTGCCCATCACTCTGACCTTGTGTGAAGTGGGCCCCTCATGTGAGGCCCTTAGCCAGTTCCACCTCCCATATACGTCTGGGGCCAGGCCACTTCCCGTCACCCCCACGGCTACCACGGCTCACGCCGCCATCATCCTGACCCCACAGAGCTGCCTGAGAGCTTCTCTGGTGGTGGTGGTGGTTTTCTTGTTAATCCTCACCCAAGGGTATTTTCCCATTGATTTTTAGAGAGAGTGGACGAGAACGGGGAAAGACAGAGCGAAACGTTGGTGTGAGAGAAACACATTGATTGGTTGCCTCCTTACACGAGCCCTGACCAGGACCTGGCCTGGGAGGAGCCTGCAACTGAGGGACGTGCCCTTGACCGGAATCGAACCCAGGACCTTTGGGTCTGTAGGCCGACGCTCTATCCACTGAGCCAAACCAGCTGGGGCCCGAGAGCTTTGCGTGTGAATCACGTTACATCCCTCCCTGCAGAGCACCGTCCTGGGTCCCGGCTGCCCTTACTGACACGCTTCCTCACGCAGCTGACGGTAATCTGGGGTCCCAGCCGCATCGCCCCCCCACCTCATTTCTTCCTCTGCATCACCGGTGGGTGGGCACCCTGAGCCTCAAAAACCCCAGGAGGGTCTCTGGCGCCCGGACTGGGGGTAGCCACTGTTTCTCTGCCCGGGTTTCCTACCCCGGGTCATGGTGGGGCTGCCTCTTCACACACGACAAGGGGCCTGAGGACACTGGCCCGGCCCCCGTCCTCAGCTGGGACCCCCGAAGCCTCGTGGGTTCTGCCATCACCTGGCCTCCAGCCACCCACGCGCCCTTCCAGGCACAGTCACCACCTAGGAACCCTCCCCGTGGCCGGCACGGCACTGCACGGAGGAGGCACTGAGCCAGCGTGTGCGAGTGAATGGAGGGGGCGGCCTCGGCCCACGTGCTGCGACAGAACACAGACCCAACACAGACACGGATTCCTCACCGTTCTGGAGGCTGGGGGTCCCAGGCCCAGGGGCGGCCCACTCGGCTCCTGGTGAGCTCCCCTGGCTTGTCCGCGGCCGCCTTCTCGCTGCGGATTGAATTCACGCGGCCTCTCCTCCGCACGTGGGCGGCGGGGAGAGCTCTGCCTCTTCTCGCGAGGCCACTGGTCCCTCGTGAGGGTCCCGCTCCATGCCCTCGTCTAACTCTCCCTCCAAAGGCCTCACCGCAAACGCCATCACACTGGGGGTAGGGCTTCGACATACGAATTTGGGGGGACCGGCTAGGACCCGAGAGCTTTGAGTCTGAGTCCCTCCCTGCAGAGCACGGCCCTGGGGCCCCAGCTGCCCTCAGTTACACGCTTCCTCACGCAGCTGACTCCATAGCCACCTGAGGAAGGGGCCAGGTGATGCCAAAGGGCCTCTCGGCTGGGCTCCGCTCTTGGCTCCAGAAAGGGGCGCTGTGCTGGCGCGCCCCCCGAGGGCTGGGCGGGGACACACGCACCTCACAGCCCCGCTCTGGTCCCTCAGATGGAGCCGCACCCCCGGCCGGCCACCCGCATAGCGACTCCCCAGGCATTTCTCTCTGCTCGGGAAGCCACCCCACGGAGCTCTGTGTTCCCAGGGTCTCGCGTCCCACGCCCGCCACTCCGTCGGGCCAGTTCCTTCCCGTAGGACTCGTCCTCTGGCGTGGCCCCAGGTCTCCGAAGGCTTAGCAAGACCCGCCGTCCTCCTCACAAGACTCAGAGCCCGCGGGGCCCTCGGCCGCCAGCTGGACTCTGCTCCTCGCTGCTGCTGGGGCTACAGAGGCTGAGGGAACGGCCCAGCCAGGGGTGGGATTTGTGACCCGCGTGACAACGAGAAGCTCGGCTCCTGAGAACTCCTGTGGCCCTCACCGGAGGCTCAGTAGTTAGAGCTCGGGCTCTCGGACTGAGGGTCCCAGATTCAATTCCCAGGCAACCAATGGATGTGTCTCTCTCACATGGATGTTTCGCTCTCTCCGTCTCTCCCCCTCCCTTCCACTCTCTCTAAAAATCAACGGGAAAATATCCGCAGGTGAGGATTAAGCAATGAAAAAAGAGCTCATGTGAACACGAATGACATCATGGAAGTTTTCCAAGAACCTTTAGAAGCCTTCGGCATTTCCCCTGAAGGGGAAGGGTGGGGTGCAGTTTCAAATCTTAGCAGGTGGCATTTCCTCTCAGGGTTCCTGTCTCCTGCCCACACCTCTGCAAGTCTAGTGCTCCCTGCTCCCCAGTTGCAAAACCTAGGAGGCCACGCCTGTGTCTGCAGGTGCCCGGCCCTGCTCCCGGCTCCCCTTGCCTCTGAGTCAACCGTCTGTCTCTGATCCCTGTTCAGTGCTGGGGGGGGGGGGGTGGGGTGGGGTGGTCCCTGGCTCGGGAGACTCAATCTCTGGGTGGAGTGAGGAAATAGCAAAGCCACTGAGCCCCTTACCTAGTAATGACGACCCAGGAGGGCCTGCTAGGTTTATCAGACCTTCACACACGTCACCACGAATCCTGATCACGCTGTGGCCAGCCCCATTTACAGATGAGCAAACTGAGGCTCCACATGGGAGTTCAGACCCGCCCAAGATCACCCACCTGGCAGAGCTGGTCACTGGGAGCCTGGGTGGGGGGAGGTTCCACCTGGGATGGCCCAGGGCAGACTCAGCTGTTCGGAGAGGCAGGCAAATTGTGCTTCCCGCAGGCAGGGCCTGCTTCCTGCCCAGATCCCGGAGCCGCTCAGCAGGGGCCTCCCCAGCTGCCCGCCCGCCCTGGGGCAGGACAGTTCTTGTTTCCTCTTCCCCGCGCCGGCCCAGACCAGAGCCCAGGGAGTGCGGCCGCTGGCCTTCACCTGCTCCTCCCTGCTCCTCCGGGAGCTGAGGTGTCAGCCGCCGGACAGGGCAGGGCCCACGTGGGGCTCCTGGGGGTGGGTCAGGGCCTCCTTTCTCCGTCAGCAAGTGGAGAACAGGCACCCGCCCAGGCGGCAGCCCCTGCGCCCAGGTCAGAGAGAGGAGGGTGGCCTCCACCCCTCCCAGCTGTGAGGGCAGAGCCGCCCGCCCACCCCAGGGCTGCCCACAGTCAGTCAGGCTGTCCACAGTCAGGCTGCAAGGTTAGCCAAGGCTGCGGCCAGCTCAGCCTTCCCGTGGGGCCCTAAGCAGCTGTGCAGACCCACGCTGGCCGGGGCCAGTCAAGCTGGTTCCACTCTGCCGCCCGGGCCCGGCTCCCAGCTGGGCAGCCTGCGTCTCTGCGCCCGAAGCGCAGGTTTGGTTGTGGGGACGGGGAGGCAGCTGGCCCAGGACGAAGCGCCCAATGGCTCCAGGCCTGACCTGACCCATGGCTCTTGCATGCATGCAGTAGGGACCCTGGCTGTCGGGGCTCCCTGTGGTGTCCCAAAATTCACACACACACGCACATGCATGCACACACGCACACGCACGCACACGCACACAGACATGCACGCACATGCACATACGTGCGCACGCGCTGCACGCTCCATTCTGACCCCATGTGGCTGTGTCTCGGTCTCCGCTGTGAGGCAGGGTCCGGGGAGGGCCCAGCTTTGGCGACAGGAGGAGGCTGAAACTCGCTGTCCCCTTGGTGCCAGAACAGAGGCCCAGACGTGCTCCCGGGGAAGCAGAAAGGGATGGGCGGGGAGCTCTCTCTGGAACCCTCTGTGGCTCCCTGCTCCTGGGGCTGCTGCTGCGGGATATCCCGCCGGCCTTCCTCTCCCAACCTGGGCAGCCACGCCGGGCGCAGCACAGCCATGGCCAGCAGAGGGCGCAGACGCCACTCTGAACTCACCACCCATGCCCTGGGACCGGGACTGCTGGGGGCAAGAAATGAAGCGGGCGAGGGAGACAGACCCTGAGGCCAATATACCACCGAGGCGGCTGGCACTGCTGGGACGCAGAGGAGGGGGCCCAGCCTGCTCCTGGGAAGACCAAGACCACATTCCAGTACCCACTTCGGCAGCACACGTACTGAAATCTGAAGGATACAGAGCAGATTAGCATGGCCCCTGTGCAAGGATGACACGCAAATTCGTGAAGTGTTCCCTTTTTTTTTTTTTTAAAAAAAAGACCACATTTCGTGAGCTTCTACAGAAACAACCCTCCCCACCCCCCCGCAACACAACCCCTCGGCAGCTTCCCTCCCAGTAGCCGTGGGCCTGCCAGGAGCATTTATTGAGTGCCTGCTGTATGCCAGGGGCCTCGGCCCCTCTGCAGAGCGAGACAGGCTGGGGCATCCCAGGCAGAGGGCACGGCGGAGGCGGGGCTGGGTGTGCCGGCTGCCCCCCCACTGCCCCCCCCCCCCTTACTCGGCCGTGGTGGGGCCCCGGCAGAAGTTTCGGTTGTAGAAGTGGTGGTTGTCCCTGGTCAGGGCCACGCCCAGCTGGGCCCAGAAGCTGCTCTGGCCGCTGGGCTGTTGGGGCCAGAGGAGGACGCTCCGGCGGCAGAGGCGCTGGCGGAGCCGCACGTAGCGGGAGCGGTGGGCGTCGGGGCTCAGGATGGCCAGCACCACCACGTCCTTGCGGTCCTCCAGCAGGCGCTGCTGGGCCAGCAGGAAGCTGGCGCGCAGGAGGCCGCTGACGCGGTCCGTGTGGGCCAGCACGAACAGCGTCTTGCGGCTGCTGTAGACCGAGGCCCACAGGTTCTCGAAGAGCGTCTTGCCGGGCAGCCAGTCCCGCTCCTCCAGGCACAGGCGCAGCGCCCGGCGCCCGCGGCGCTCCTCCAGCCGCACCCGCAGCTCGTTGTACACCCAGTCGGCCACGGCGGCGTGCGTCTTGTCGAAGACCACGAAGGCGTCGTAGGACAGGGCATCCGCGCCCCGCCGGTGCCCGCGCCGGGGCAGCCAGGCCAAGCCCAGGTGGAAGCAGTACCAGAGGTCCCAGCCGCACAGGTGCTGCAGCAGCGGCACGGCCACGCCCAGCGCCACCGCCAGCAGCGAGAGGCCGAAGCAGTCCCAGGACAGGGCCTCGTCCAGGCAGAGGCGCAGGTCCTGGGCGAAGATGCTGCGGCCCTGCAGCTGGCCCGGGCTGCCGCACTTGACCTGGCTGGCCAGCCCGGGCACGGCCGCCTGCACCTGCAGCAGGAATTCCACAAAGGCCGCCCCGCAGGCGCAGTGCAGGGGGTTGGCGCTCACATCCAGGACCGTCAGGGCGGCCGCCACCCGGGCGCCGAACCACGAGGGGTCCAGCGTCCGGAGGGCGTTGTGGCTGAGGTTGAGCTCTTGCAGCTGCGTGGCCGGAGCGAAGAAGCCGAGGGCCACGAAGTTGATGCGGTTGCGGCTGACGTCCAGCCTCCGGAGCCTGCTGTCCGCGGGGAGGCTGCCGTTGGTCAGGGCCTTCAGCTGGTTCCCCGCCAGGTCCAGGCTCTCCAGCTGGGGCAGGAGGGTCAGGCTGCTCCAGTTGAAGAAGGCCAAGTAGTTGTCCTGGAGCCGCAGCCGCTGCAGGCTCCGGGGGAGGTAGCCCAGGTTGTGAGGCAGGACGGCGTGCAGGTGGTTCCGGGACAGGTCCAGGCTGGCCAGCTGGCTCAGGCCCTGGAAGAAGCGGAGGTAGAGGTCTCCCTCGTTCCACATGCGGTTCAGGGCGTTGCCGCTGAAGTCCAGGGCCCTGAGCGAGGCGCTGCGCAGCTCCGGGGACACCCGGCTGTGGATGGCGTTGTGCGCCAGGCTGAGGTAGCGCAGGCCGGGCAGCTGGGCCACGAAGCTGAAGTTGTGGCCCATGCCCTGCATGCTGAAGGCCTGGCTGTTGTAGCTGAGGTCCAGGGCCCGCAGGCAGGGCAGCTCCGTGAACGAGCGGCCGTGGTACAGGTCCAGCTTGTTGTAGGACAGGTCCAGCACCTGCAGGCTGGTCAGCAGCACGAACTGGGAGCCGTTGACCTGCGAGATGCTGTTGTAGCTCAGACGTAGGCACTGGAGGCGCGACAGCCCGGCGAACATCTCCGGCTCGATCGTCACCAGGTTGTTCCGCGACAGGTCCAAGGTGAAGCTGAGGTTCTTGCAGTTCGGCATGAAGTTCTCCGAGCTGGGGGTGTCCCTGGGATCCGGCGCGAGGTGCCCCGAGGGCCGCCGGTTCGCCGCCCCAGCATCCGCCTCCCACGTGGGGGCGTTCAGCCCCAGAGGCCCGCTGATGCGGTTGTTGGACAGATCCACCTGGCACAGGCTGGGGTAGGCCTGGAAGATGCTGAGCTGGGCCCGGTTGATGAAGTTCATCTGGAGCTTGAGGGTCTGCAGCACGGGCAGGCGGGCCAGCGGCCAGAGCGTGCGCTCGCTGAGCTCGCGGAAGAAGATGCCGGTCATGTCCAGCACCTCCAGGGCGCGCAGCCGCCCGAAGGAGGGCGCCAGGGTCATGTGGGCGTAGGACACCCCCTTGTGGTAGTTGAAGGACAGGTTGAGTTTGCGCAGCTTCCTTAGGCCCTGGAAGGCCGTGGTGTTCTGGATGCAGTCGTACAGGAAGTTCTCGCTCAGGTCCAGCACGGAGAGGTTGCCCAGGCCCCGGAACCAGCGGGTGTCCAGGCTGGAGAGAGAGCTGTCGCTCAGCACCAGGCCTTCCAGGTGGCTCAGGTTGCTGAAGGTGTCGGGGTGCAGCTTGGGGAAGCCCGGGGGGCACTCCACGCAGGGGTTGCGGGCGTGGTCGCACCGGCGGCAGTTTCCGCCCACGTCCAGCACGCGCAGGGCGGTGAAGTTGGCCAGGTCCGCAGGCCCCAGGGAGACGATGCGGTTGTAGGACAGCAGCAGGGTGTGCAGGCCGGGGGGCAGGCCGCGGGGCACTGCCGTGAGGTTGTTGTACTTGAGCGACAGGTGGGTGAGGTTGTGCAGGCCGAGGAGGGCGCCGGGGGCCACCCGCACGGCCCGGCCGCAGGGGTTCTGGTAGTAGCAGTTGCCGTCCATGTACAGGTGTGTCAGGGCGTGCAGGCCCCTGAAGCTGGCGGCGTCAATGGCCAGGATGTTGGTGCGGCTCAGGGACAGGGTCCGGAGGGCGGGGGGCAGGGCGGGCACGGTGGTGATGTTGTTGTAGCTCAGGTTCAGCTCCTCCAGGGTGGGCACGGCCAGGAAGGTGTGGGGCTCGATGGTCATGTGGCAGGCCCAGTGCATGATGCTGAGGCTGCTGGGCGGGCAGTTCCACTTGAGGTTGAGCCTCCGCAGGCCGGGCAGGTGGGCGAAGTCGGAGTTGTGGAGGTGGCGGATGCGGTTGCAGCTCAGGGAGAGCTTCGTGACGTTCCCACGGGGCGAGGACGCCGTGAAGTGGGGCACGGACGTCAGGAAGAGCCACTCGCAGTTGATGTAGTCAGGGGCCTGAAACTCACAGGGCAGGAAGGCGGGCAGGGCGCCCTGGGCCAGGGCCAGGGCCAGCACCTGGGCCTGAACCAGGAGAGACAAGGGCAGCGGGGCGCCATGGCAGGGGCCCTGTGGGGGGGAGGGAGGGGCAGGCGGCGTGAGTACCAGCCCAGCTTCACCTCCCCACCCAGGTCACCGAGTCCCCCCCCAGGCCTCCCCAGGGAGGCTCCTGCCTCTCTGCCCACCCCCCTCCCACCTCCAAGGCTCATGGGGAACCTGGACTTGGGTCGGGGACTCAGCCGTTGACGCAGAACTGCTTCTGAGACCCGGAACCCAGGCTCATGGTCTAGACTTTCACTCATAACCAAACCCCAGCTGCACCAGAGCCAGGCAGGTGCCTGCAGGCCCCAGGCTCCCCCTACTCTCCCTCCGTCCTCAGCCCATTTTTCTTCTCTCCTGAGCCCCCTCCACCCTCCGCCTGCTGCTCCCCAACCCCTCCCTCTCCCTTTGGCCAAGACCCAGGCAGGAATGAGGGTCTCTCACTGGGGTCCAGGCCGGGGACCGTCCAGGGCCTGGGCTCTGGTGGGCACTGCCCAGCCCTTTCCCCAGTGCCCAGGAGCCCTGGACCTTCTGCAGGTCAGAGCCAGGCCTGGGCGCCCAGCTTGGCCTTAGTCCCTGGGCCACAGCGAGCGAGCCCTCGGCCTCAGCCTCCTCCTCCATGCAATGGGTTGGGGCCTCCTGCTCAGAGACGGGCTCTGCTCTGATGTCCTCAGGGCCCAGGGAGTGCTCCGGGGCCATGTGGGTGACAGCGCGTCCCCTACTGTCTGTAGCTGCCAAGCCCACCTCTCTCCCCACCCGGCCCCCCGGCCCTGGTCCCCGCTATCCCCTCCCCGGGGGTCGGGGGGAGAGGGCGGCGGTCCTACCATGACAAGGAGAGGGGGCTTGTCCAGAGGGTCTCTCTTAGCCAGTCCCTTCCCGCTGACTGCTGCCAGCAGAGGAAGTGAGAATTTCACAACCTCGTAGCCCCCTCCCTGCCATGGCTGGGGGGCCGTGCAATGAGTCAGGCCATTTGCATAGTCAGATGGCAGACAGGAGGCCCGCTCCTTCCTCTTTCACTCCCCTCCTCGCCCCCCACCCCCTGCCCCGTCCCGACAAGGCCACCCGTCCGTCCTGGGCCTCACACCTGTCTCCTGGGGGTCCTGGGAGACACAGGGCCCAAGCCCAGGCGATGCTCACCGAGGAACGGGCATTGGGGGCAGTGCCAGACCCCGCGGGCATGCCGACACCATGCCAGGCCTCCCCTCTCACCCTCGCGCCCCACAGGCGGCACGCAGGCAGCGTCTCCTCCCTGCACCTGCCCTTCCTGGCCCGGTGGCCCCGCCCCAGAGCTCTTCGGGGCCTGGGGATGGGGAGCTGAGCCTCCCCCGGGCTGCAGCTGCACCCCCAGCCTGCTACTCCCTCTAGGAGCAGGGCCTCCCCGTCTGCATCCCCCACATCCTGGTGCCGTTGAGCACAGCCCCGTGGCTGGGCCTGCCAGACAGCCTGGCTCGGCCTCCCACGTCGGGCCCCAAGCCTCAGGGGGCCCCAGCCCCCCAGCCAGGGCCTTGGGCTCCACTTCAGGTCCGCCAGCACCTGCCCGTCGCCCGCCATCTCTTGCCTAGACCGCCATCAGCCCCTCCTCACGGTGGCCGGCTTCTGTGCTCACACCCACGCCTGTTCCCATGGCCCCAGGTCACAGGAGGCCCCTCCTCGGCTCAGGCCCCTCCAGGACCCGTTCTGGAGCCAAGGCCCACATCATGGCCAAGGCCCCGTCGGACCTGCCTCCCTGACCAGTCCCCACCACCCCGGCCTCCCTGTGCCGGCCTGGCCACACCTGTGACGCTCCCGCCTGTGAACGGCCCGTTCCCTCTGCCCGGACTCTTCTCTCAGACCCTCCGTCGCCTCCATGGGGGGTGGGGGGCCCTCACGTCTCCACTCACAGGTCGGCCTCTCAGCGGGGCCTCCCCTGCCCTTTGGGTAAACCTTCATTCTGGGCCAAGCCCCTTTTCTGGCTGCTTTTCTCTTTTGTAAGTTTTTACCGATTAACGTGCCATTTCCTTGCTTTTGCATCGTCTGTGATATAGTCTGACTGCCCTGCTGGCACGTCGGCTTCTGCCTGCGTCCCAGGGCCCACCCAGTGCCCAGCACACAGTAGGTGCTCTGCTTGTTGAGCCTGTGGCTGCCCAGCCCTCAGCTGGACAGAGGTCCTGAGTGACGATGAGTGAACCCAGAGGGCTTCTGTTGGGGGAGGCAGGGCGGGCCCCTTCTGCAGGATGGACAGCCCTGAGCCCTCGCCTGGACTGTGCCCACAGGAGAAAGGACAGTGCCAGGTCAGTGGCTGAACCCGCCGTCGACCCGGGTCCTCACCCCTGCATCCCCCGCTGAGTCCTCAGCCCCAGGGAACCTCTCCCGGGGCCCCTGGGACCAAAGACCCAGGCCCTCTCCCCTCCCAGCAGCCACCGTCTGCCTTGGGGGCAGAAACCAGGTCCCCGAGGTGGCCGGGGGCTGCCAGGGAAGCCTGTGCGTGCATGCACACACACGACTGGACACAGCAAGATTTCAGACGCCCACACACACCCGCCATAGCCCAGCCCCACCGAGGCTGGGAAGACCAGTGGGCAGAGCTCCCCATGGGGCAGGCCGCGAATGCCCCCAGGGAGCCCCTCGTCCCACTGCCCCACCTGTGAATTTATTCCTCCATAAAGGGGCTGGCAGGCAGAGTTAAGGGTTTGAGAGGCGCGTCCCCTGCGCCACCAGGAAAGGGAAGTGGCTATAATTAGAGCTGTCCTTCCCAAGGCAGAGGAAGCCGGATCATCGGCAGCAGATGCTCCGCCTCTGGCTCTGAAGGGGAGGAAGGGGCCGCTGGAGCAGGTGTGGGAGCGGATTCCCCCCGAGGCCTCCAGGGGAGCCAGCCCTGCCCGCGCCTGGCCTGAGCCCTGGATTCATTCCCCGAGTGAAAGTCCTGTAAGAGTGCATGTGTGTCGTTTAAAGCCAGTAAGCTTGGCCTGCCGGCGTGGCTCAGTGGTTGAGCATCGACCTATGAACCAGGAGGTCAGGGTTCGATTCCTGGTCGGGGCTCATGCCCGAGTTGCAGGCTCAATCCCCAGTAGGGGGCATGCAGGAGGCAGCCGATCCATGATTCTCTCTCATCATGGATGTTTCAATCTCTCTCTCTCTCCCTCTTCCTTCCTCTCTGAAATCAACAAAAATATTTAAAGCCAGTGAGTTTGGGGAACTTAGAGCAGCCATAGGAAACCCGCACACCCGGCCCCATGTCGCAGGGAGGTGCCGTCTCCCACGCTGAGCCCCCGGCCACCGGTGGACCCATCTGAGGCGGTGCCCTCGCACCCACGGACAGCCTCTCCTGACACCTTTCACGTTGGGGAGGGGCCGTTACATGCACAGGGCCCCCCAGTGCCCAGGGCCGGAGGTGCTTCCTTGGGCCAGACTCGGGTGTTGCTTTAAAAATACTTTATTCTTTAAAAAATACAGCATTCAACCATCTCATCCGCCGTGACCCCCTGCCCGACCGCGACGGACCCCACCCCTTGGGGCCAAAGGGTTCCGGGCCGTGCCGGGACCCTGGTCTCAGTTCCCTTGGGGACCAAGTCCATGCCAGGCCCTGGAGACAGCCAAGCAGGGTCCCCGACACTCTGGGCACACAGAGGAGGGGCAGGGAGAGCAAGGGGAAGGGTCACAACACCAGCCCAGTGGCCCTCGGAAGCGGCAAGAGGGGTCAGTCTCCAGCCCTCCTGCCCCAGAGCGACCCTGCCCCGGAGCCCGGATGGGAGGGAGGGCGGCGGTGAGGAGCGGGCGGCGGGCGGCCCCACAGTCCACCGGCCAGCGTGGCTCGGCCCGCCTCTAGCTGTCGTCCCCGTTCTCGCCGGGGCCGCGGATGAGGCGCTTGTGGCCACGCTTGCCGCCCGGGCCCTTGGGCTTGGCGAAGGCCTGCTTGAAGGCGTGCTGCTTGGGGTGCACCTCGTCGTACAGGAAGTCGGCCGTCAGCTCGGCCCCGTCGCCGATCTCAATCTGGGGGGGGCACACAGTGTCACCCCACCGGTGCGGGGCCCAGACTCCCCACCCCCGCTCCTGGGGCACTCCCTTGATCTCTCACACTCCAGCCTGGGGTCTCCTCCCAGACCCCCACCTGGACGGCCACCTCCAGGAACATGGACCCCGGGGCCCACTGCTCTGCACACCCTGGTCACCCCGCCTTCCGGGCCCGGGACAGGAGACACGGAGCCAGGGCTTGGGCCTGTCCCGGCCATCAGTCAGCGGGGCAGCCCTGGACAGGGCCTCAGTCTCCCCAGCCACCCAACAGGCAGCAGTGGCCCTGTCCCTCCACCGTCCCGTCCCTCCCAGGCCCCGGCGGAGGCGGGAGACGGCCTCGGGGTGACACGCAGGCGCCCACCTTCTTGGCTATCTCCAGCCGGAAGTCCTGCTCCACGGAGTCCAGGAGGCGGCTCTTGCAGCTGGAGTAGAGCATGCGCTCCCGGATGCTGCACTTGTAGCCCGGCATCGAGTAGATGAACACTGGGGGCCCGGGGCGAGAGGGGTGAACGGGTGGGCCCCCCGCTGCAGCCCCGCCCCGCCCCTGCCCCGCCCGGGGGCCCCCTGTGCCACTCACCCACAGACTCGAGGGGGTCGCCCTCATGGGTGTGCCTGTAGAGGAAGAAGTGGTAGCGGGCGGCCTCTCGGGGCACCCGCGAGGGCAGCTGGGCCACATCTGTGGGCTCCGTGTGCACCAGCTCGATTGTCTCCCGCTCCAAGTCCAGCTTCTGCCGAGGGCAGGGGGATGCGAGGGCACTGGGTGAGGCGGGGCCCAGGCCCACCTGCCCGGCGAGCTCCCAAGGTGGGAGGGTGGCAGGCAGGCGCTCCCTCTGCCGGGACGTCCCTCCCCGCGGCCCCCGCCATGGAGGTCCCGGCCCTAACTCCCCCGGGAAAGCTCTGCTGGAAGAGGGCCCCCCCCAGGACCATGGACAGGACCAGCCCATCCTCAGATGCCAGCCGCTGGGGTGCCGTGTCTTGAAAAGGAGGAGCCGTTTGGCTCTAGAGGGGGCGGCCTGGACCACAGGGGCCGACGGGCTGCCTGGGGGATGGGGGTGAGGCGGAGTCTGGGACAGGAAGGGGCTGAGAGCCAGGAGTCAGTGGAGCCCCATGTGTACCGTGTGCGGGCGGAGAGAGGGAGGGACTGTCCCAGGCCCCCTGCCCATGAGCAGGGACAGGCAGGGAACAGTGCATCCATGACACACGGCAGCTGCACCCAAATGGGAACAGGTAGGGGCGGCGGTGGGGTGGGCAGGTGTTCCCGCCGGCACACGGGTGAGCTGCGTGGACAGGCTGGGGACCTGGGTGTGCACGCTTGCACATGTGAGCGGGCAGGCGGGGGTCAGGGGTGGGGTGGGGGCTGAGCGTCGCGGGTCCGGGCAGGGAGCGCACCCACCAGCTGGATGTAGTTGATCGTCTTCTGCCGGAGCTGCTGCAGCGCCCGCTGGGCCTCCGGCTGCAGGGGGAAGGCGAGGCCCTGCAGGGTCTGGTGCTTGCTCTCCACGCTGATCTCTGTCTTCACCTGGGGGCAGCGATCAGTGAGCGAGGCCTCACCTGCCGAACCTGACTGCGGCCAGCCGAGCACAGGCCTGGCGTGGCCTGGAGCCCCCCGACCCCAGAGCACCCACCTCGTTGATGCGGATCTGCTGCAGCTCCCTCTCGGCCGAGGTCAGCGGGGCGGGCGCCGCACAGGACGACAGGTGCTTCTGGTACCCGGCCAAGGAGAGGTCGTCCTGCCGCGGACGCAGAGGCGGAAGTGGGCGCCTCGGGCGGGCCGCCAGGAGCCCTTGAGCACCCAGCCCTCCCACTCATGCCCCAGCCTGGTGCCCACTCGCTCTGTGACCTTGATCCGTCCCGTCCTCTGAGGCCTGTGACCCTGGCTTGGAGGGTCCAGCGGGGGCATTACCTTCGCCGTCCCGAAGAGCTCGTCCTTGACGTGGCCGCCCCCGAACTCCTTCTTCACCGTGGCCCGCGTGGCCGCGTAGAGCATCTTCAGCCGCACCTGAGCGGCAGGGGACAAGCGTGAGACCCCTGCAGGCGGGGCTGTCTCTCCAGCAGGCAGGTCACCCCCTGGTGCCCACACACCCGGCAGAGGGCGCAGCGGGGCGGCTCAGAGGCAGTGGGGCGGCTCGGGCAGCAGGGGGAGCCCTTGCCCAGCTCAACCTCTGACTCCCAGAGCCGCGGATATGGCCAGGAGGCTGCAGGCGACCCCAGGGCTGTGTCCCTTCAGCCGCTCTAGAGCAGATCCCGATGTGCACGCCCCCCCCCGCCCCCCACCAGGGATCGGCCTTGTCTCGCTCAGACCCCGTGTCCCCTCCCCCCGATCTCGGGACTGGGCAGGGGCCCCCGGACTCACCGGGGAGTTGTCAGGCGACCAGGCGAGGAAGAGCCACTCGAAGCCCTGGGCGTTCTTGGAGTCCAGGCGGTAGAGCAGGTAGCAGGGCTGCTGGGCGTCCAGGAGCGGCAGCACGGCCCGGTCGTAGTCCTGCTCCCAGCTGCCCACCGGCTCCCGCGACGCACCCAGCGTGAGCTGCTCTGGGGGCAGAGGCCGGGTGAGCCCAGTCCCACCCCCACCCCACCCCGCCTGGACCTCCAGCCTCTGGCCTCCCTCCCCACCTTCCCTGGAGCCCCCAGTCCCTGAAGGGCGAGGCTGTGACGGAAGCACGAGTGAGTGAGCGACCAAGCTGCCCACTAGGGTCTGCTCCCTCCGCACACGCATGGAGACGGCCGAGGTGAAGCCCGCACAGGTCTGGGCACAATCACAGGAAGACACACAGACGCGTGCCCACCGCCACCAACAGTGCAGCCCTCACGGCCACCGGCCACCAGCTCGCTGCTCCATCCGCGCCCCGGCCCCGCACAGCCTCTCAGAACAGATGTGCTCAGGAGGCGGGCTCACAGCTGCAGCCCACGGGGCAAGGGGATAATCACGCCCTGGCCAGGGGTCCTGGCACCTGCTACCAGGCCCCTGATGGGGGCAAGGGCCCCAAATGCCAGGCCCAGCAGCCCAGCCTGCCCTCCCGCAACTCAGAGGGGGCCCGGGTCGGAAGCCAGGGTCGCAGGCTGAGTCGGCCGACAGCACTGCCAGCGCCCTTCACTATGCTGCCCCCATCTCTACGCCGGGGAGTTTCACGTAAGAAGGGGAGTTCCTGTTTCTCTAGAAAACTCAGGAGTGGGCCACACTCAGGTGGAGACGGCAGGGGCTGCCCGTCAGGGGGCCTGGACAGCTGCGCGTGCCCCACCACTGCAGGCGGGACTGGGACGGTACGCGCCCCCCCCCCCCCCCCCCAGTCCTCCAGCTCAGCGTCTGTGGGGACGTCCAGCCTGGGCAGACCCTGCTTTGAGCCAATTCAATGCATGAAAAGCCATCTGGGCACCAAGCCTGTTCAGGGGGGCACCCCTGAAGGGCCCGCTAACGCAGGGCTGGGAGGCCCTGCAGGGTGGGGGGCAGCACACTCCCAGTCCCAGAGTCTTACTCTCATCTCCGGGGACAGCCCCTCAGCACAGACGAGCGGGGAGAGGAGAGGAGCCCTCTGTTCTGGCACCACAAGTGTCATCTACTCCTCTGCCTCCTCAAACCCCGCCCCCTCCGGCCCAGCTCAAACTCTCCCCCGCCCTCCGCATAAGCTCACGTCCCCAGGTCCAGGCCAAGGCCCAGCCAAGCCCAGAACCCACCCACTGGACCTCAGAGTCCTTCTCCCCTCTGCGGGGCATTTTTTGAGGCTTCTCCGTAGGACTCCCCCTGGCCAGCAGCCACGCCGGTCTCGGCCTGCCAGCCACCGATGGACGTGAGTGGCACTGGCCACATGGGGCAGGGCCTGGCCTGGCTTGTTCCCTGCCCCCTGCCCAGCCCATTTCTCCCGGCACAGCCTGTGGGGGGGGGGGGGGGGGGGCGCGGGGCAGGACCCCGGGCCAGGCCTGCCCTGCTACCCCTCAGCTTCAGTTTCCTGCTGTTTAACGGGGTAACGACCACGCCGCCTCCAGCGCTTTCTACAGGTCCCTCACGTTCCCAGCTGGGGAAACTGAGGCCCTGGGCGGGCTGGAAGTCAGTGTCCCCACCTCCCAGGGAAGCAGCGAGTCCAGCGCTCGGCCTCCGTCCCCCTCCCAGGGGGCACTCACCATCCTCAATGACGACTTTGATGAGCCGGACGGAGCCGGCCCGCGCCTTGGCGAAGAATTCCCTCAGCTGCTCGGTGGCTACAAGCACAAGAAACATGGTGGGGATGAGCGGCGGTGGGCAGGGTGGGCAGCGATGGGCAGGGTGGGCGGCGGTGGGCAGGGTGGCAGGGACACGGGCAGGGACACGGGCAGGGACACGGGCAGGGCCTGCTCCGTTCTGCGGGGTCTGGTGGCTGAGCGGGGAGCGGGTTAAATACAGCCCTCCATGTGACCGGGAACCCGAGCTGGCTGGACATAAGCTCCCAAATTTAGCCAGCAGAGGTGGCGGGTGAGTGGCCGCCTGGCTGGAGGCGCTCTGGTGACAGGGCAGCGGGGACGGGACAGCCCATCGGGGAGGGGGCGGGCTCTGGGGCAGGCCAGGCCAGTGGGAGGAAGGCCAGCGCCGAGCTGGACAGGGAGACACTCAGTACTGTCCTAACCACAGACAGAAACACGTGGACAGTTCCCCGGTGACCACTATGCCCACTGACACACACGTGTGTACATGCACACACACGCACATGTTGCATGTAGCAACAAACAGGTACATCCTCAGCCCAGCATGTGAATGTAACACGTCAACACGTGCAGGTGGCAGAGGAGTGTGAATGCTAACACCCCCGTCCACGAGCACACACTCAGCTGGTCTAACACAAATAAACACACGCATTTTAGCCTCACACACACACCCAGCCACCATGCCCGGGGCTCTAACACACACACACACACACACACACACACACACAAATGGCAGACGCAGAGCTTGGCGAAGACACGTTTGCAGGCAAAGGATGTATAAAGGCTACACAGACCCACACAGGCATGCACAGACACAGGGAGGCAACCAGCTCCCACCCACAGGCAGTCTGGAAGGCTTCATGGAGGAGGAGTGACTCTCAGGAACTCCTCAAAGCAGACTCTGTCTTGGTCCTTGGACCAGAGCTGGGAGGTGACAGCCAATGACTGGGACCCGAGTGCAGAGGTGAGGGTCGTGGTTGGAGCTAGGAACCATGGGACATCACAGACCCACTGTGGTTCAGGGAGAAACCCAGGTCCGAGTGGGGAAGGGCCGACGTGGTCTCTGGGTGCACAGGGCCAGCCAGCATGACCTTGAGGCTCTGCAGAGGTCAGGGGAATTCTGCAGGAACACAGCTGGAGGGCTGAGGTCAGAGAGTATTTATAGGGCCCGCAGCTCGGGGGCAAGGGGGGGCCTTTAGGAAACACACTCTGGTCACGTCCTCAGGTGCCCCTCATGCAGGGCGACCTGAGCCTGAGACCGGGCTGGGCACCACCCTCAAGGCCACTGGGTGGACAGGTCCCAGCTGAGCCCGCGGGTCCTTGGTGCTCAGGGCAGCACGACACGAAGACAGCCCCACAGGACCAGGCAGAGCGACCCACCTGCAGAGCCCGAGCAGGTCCCTGATGAAGACCTGGCCTCTGGGGTGCCACCTTTCCCGTCGCTGTATGTGACCCCTGACCTCACTGCACCTCAAACTCTTCCATAATGTGGGGCTCAGCCTCCCCCACGCGGAGCCCGTGGTGAGGAGTAAGCGGGAGAAAGTGCTCCGTGAGGGGCCCCCACTAGTAACACACCCACTGTCTAACTAATGGCCGCCGGGCGCCGTGCGGTGCGAGGGAAGGCCACCACGCAGCTCTCCCAAAGGGGGCGGACACGTCCCTTCCAGTGTTACCAGGGCAGTGACACCCCAGAAGGGGAAGAGACAACCCCCCAGCCTCTTCAGCCACCATCAATAATCCAGAGGCCGGGCCTGGGACACCTGAGCCTCTCATCAAAGATTCATGCCCCCGGCCCTACCCCTGCCTTGCCCACCCCCCACCTGGGAGCCTCCGGTTACAGGTCCCTCCCCTGCCCTGCTCTGAGGTCAGCAGATTCACACCTATGGCCAGGGCAGGGCCAACTTTCTTCCCACCTCCCCGGGCAGGGCCGGCAATGAGGGGTGGGCTGCTCACAGGCAGGAGGAAATGAGAGAGTGAGGTGGGGCCCCGACCACAGGACTGTCAGCCTGGAGCTCAGAGGAGGAACCCTCGCTTCCGATTCCCGCCCCCCCTCCCTCCGTTGGGGCAGCAGCAATGACCAGGCAAAGGGGAAGGAAGGGACAGCGGGCAACTGTTCTCTCCTGTGGGGCTGAGTCACCAGCAGGCTGGACAACGCCTCCCCAGGAGAGGCTGGCCCACCTGGGGGGTGGCTGGCCCTGACCCCGGCCCGGGCCTGCTGTCCTGTGGGACGGGGCCAGGGAAACCCTCAGGGCTGTCTGGCCAGCAAGTGGCCACAACCACAAGCCGAGATCCAGGCAGGCGGTCAGGCTGGTCGATGGTGGCCCTGGGGAGGGTGGGGGGGGGAATCCTAGTGCAGTGGGAAGAGTGGCTGATGGCCAAACCACAGGCTCTCTGGGCAGGCAGTCTGCACCTTCTGCACAGGCCAGGCAGCTGCCTGGGCCAGTGGAGGGGGACACTGAGGCCCAGGTAGGGTCAGGACACCTGGCTCCTGGCCACGGCCTCTCTCTCAGCCTGTCCAAGGAGGAACGGGGGTCCTTGGAGGAAGGGAGTGATGCTGGTCTGGAGGAGCTTGGGCTTGGGGGGAGCTGGCCTGGAGTCTCCAGGGCCAAGACCTCCCCCCCCCAAACCCCATACTTGGACCCTCTTCTATGTTCCCAACCTGGAACTGGAACCATCCAAGCCTGGCCCCGGCAGACTCAGATCAGAGTGGAAAATGGAGGGGACCTGAGGTCAAGGTCAGACCGGCCACTCTCCCATCCCACTCTGAGGGCCCTGTCCCGGGGTCCCCAGCCTAGCTCGCAGGAGTGTGGGAGGAGCCAGAGGTCAGGACCCCCTCCTCAGACAGACACAAACCCATACAAGCCATACACAGATACACCCGGTACATGCATCCATGGTAACAAATGCACACCGAGATGCACCCAGATTGTGCATACAGACACCCACAGACGTGTGCACAGTCATGAAACACTGATGTCTACAGATGGTCCCATGTTACTGTGTCCATTCAACTAGCCACTAGTGTATGTGCACCCCGGTGGGCGCACACGGGGCTGCACACACAAGGCAAGTGAACATGCGTGCACCCTCCCCCAGATGTGCGCATCCGGGTGCACCCACCCCCAGAGAGGCACACAGACCCATAGATGGGCACACACAGGCACATCCACGCCCCGTGGGCACACACAACACGGAAACTTCCGCCCCAGCTGGGTACCTATATGCACACCCACTCCCAATTCTGCACAGTGAGTCCCCCTCCCCCAGATGTGCCACCCCAGGCGATGCGCGGCTGCAAAAGAGAACAGGAAGCTTCCCCGCGCTGGTGCCCGGGAGGAGACGGGAGCCGGACCCGGGGAGGGGGCGCAGCGGCGGGTGGAGACCCTCTGCCCCCGGCCCGCCCGCCATCCGCCCTCACCGTGGATGCCCGTCTGGTGCGCCATGGCTGCGTGCCCTGCTCCGCCCGCGCCCTCGGAGCCCTCGGATCGGCCCTGGCTCCGCTCCGCTGGCTCGGACCCGGAGGAGGAGGAGGAGGAGGATGTGGCGGGGGCCGCCCAGCTCGCGCTGCTTCCCGGGCGGTGTCGCAGGACCCGCCCCCAGCAAGCCCCGCCCCCAGGGCGCGGCCGAGAGGGGGCGGGGACTAGAGCCGCGCGTGCGCGCAGGCCACTCCTTGTTCCGGGTGGGCGTCGGGCGCGGAGCCGGCGGGCGTGTCCGCGCGCATGCGTGATCCAGCCTCCGTGGGCGGCGGGGAAGGGTCCTGCTCCGTGCGTGTGTGCGCGTGCGCGAGCTTATCCCCCCCCCCCCCCCCCCCCCCCCCCCCCGCCTCCGGAACAGCTGGGTTTGCAAGCGGGGCGGCGTCCGCAGTTGTGGCCGGGAAAGGGGTCCGCATGTGGATGGGCGTGCGTGTGTTTGCGCGGCATCCCTGGCCCGGAGACCTTGCCTGAGCGCCTCCTGCGGGGACTGGGCACCAACAGGCAGCCAGCATGTGAGGGGCCGCTAGGAAGAAGCGACACCTGGAGGTCCCCCTGTCAGAGCGGGCTGTTCTCCTCCGGGGGACCTGCAGGTGCAAAGGCCCAGGGGTTGGGGGAGGATAGAGCTTGGTGAGCCTGAGACACTGCCAGCTCCTAACGAACTGGTCAGCGTCCGTCCAGCAGCCTGGCCTTGTCTGACACCAGCCCCTGGGATGAGTCTAGGACTACATCATGGGTCCAGTCAGAGCCCATGGTAGGTGCTCAGTGAGGGTGGCTGGGCTGCAGCGAGGAACCAGCTTTTTGCTTTTGCTTAACTGTGACCATATTTTGTGTTTCGGGCACGTGTGGCCGAGTCCCCAATACAGGGGGATGTCGGCTCTTCTTATCTCCGTTCTGACAGTCCAGATGGTACAGTGTCTCCCTCCCTCCCCCTCCTGCAAAGAAGCACAGTGTCCAGCAGACATTTTTCCTTTTTCTCAATAAAATACAATCCTAATAAAAATATAAACAAATTGCCCAGCTGGCGTGGCTCCGTGGTTGAGCATGGACCTATGAACCAGGAGGTCACGGTTTTATTCCCAGTCAGGGCACATGCCCGGATTGCAGGCTCGATCGCCAGGCTGGGGTGTGCAGGAGGCAGCCGATCCATGATTCTCTCTCACCATTGATGTTTCTATCTCTCTCTCCCTCTCCCTTCCTCTCTGAAATCAATAAAAATTTATTAAAATACAAATTGTGGCATATATGCACCATGGGATTGACACAAAGATTCTTTCCTCTTGCTGAATCCTCTCAACCAGGAGAGGCGATGCCCCACCTGAACGGGGCAGAGCCCGGAGCTGGACCCATGTTCTCTGCACTTAATATCACAGCCCTTGAGCTTCCAGGGATGACATGAGTTCCAGGCGCAAAAGGAAAGTATTCGCTCACCACACTAACAAGTCCGGGAGTCAATGCGTCAGGCGTGGCCGCATCTGGCTGTCCACGGTGACTGCTCCTCCCTCGGCTCCCTCCCCGGGGTGGGCTTGGCTCTCAGGAAAGCCCCTCCCCCGGGGCAGCCCCTGGAAACCCCACACCAGGAACATCAGCAGTGACCAAAGCAGTTTTCCTTTCTTTCTCTCTCCAGTCGTTTTTTTTAGAAAAAGGCCCAGGACTGAGTCTCCTTTGGCAGCGCAGGGCCCATCGCTAGAGACCACTGTTTTGGGAGGAGATGAGGGCTCTGCCCCATCATGTGCCCCCCCGGCCCCCAACCTGGGGAGGGAGAGTGGACCTGGGTGGCGTGAGGTGAAGATTAAGGCCCTCTTCCCAGAACAAGGGTGACAGAGTGAAAGATAGACACCCAGACATGTCCTCTGTATCATCCAAGAAAAAACAAATAGCACTCCCCCCACCGCCCACGATGCTTGCTGTCATAGCTCCTACCACATCTGCGGTCAACATTTATCTCTGGGAAGGCAGCCTCGTCCCTGTGACCCCAGTGCCCAGCAGGGCGCCTGGCAGTGGCTGAACACCAAGCCTGCAGCGAGGAATCAGCATGTGGTTTAGGCATGTTAGCGGGGAGAGTAAGCGACCTGATGATGCTCAGTACCTGCCCGCTCAGGAGGGGGTCGAGGAGCCCCCCTCTCACCCCTCACAGCCGCCCGGACGCAGGACCCTGACCCACCCGTGGGAGGAAGGCCCCCTGGCTGCCCAACTGCAGAACCGGGAGTGGAGTTCCCTTTCACTGAGTCCCGGAGGCCCACCCAGTGGCATCTGGAACAAGTTCCCAGGGGCTGCTGCTGCTCTGCAACCACCTGCATTTTTTTCTTTTTTATTCATTGATTTGAGAGAGAGAGGGAGAGAGAGAGGGAGCAATTGTCGTCCCACTACCTTATGCGTTCATCGGTTGATTCTTGTATGTGCCTTGGCCGGGGATCAAACCCACAACCTTGGTGTACAGGATGCTGCTCAGCCAGGGTGGGAGCCACATTTTGAGGAGCTTTCCTGCCTTCGAGGATGGTTTTCCGAGAGTATCCAAAGTTGGCGGGCAGCTGCTGAGCACCAGGGGGTACGAGGGGGAAAGGGGGTCAGGGGGGTCCTAGGACTGGCTTAGACCAGCCTGATGTGCGAATTTGCTGAAAGCACCCTTGGAAGTCAGCCTCAAGACGCAGTAACCTCCCGGGAACGTGGCTCTCAAACTTGGGTCCTCCGGCCACCACCTCCCAACCCCGGGTGGCGAGACTGACTCGGGCCATCCGGAAACTGCTCAGCAACACGCAGGGGGTTGTTTTTAAAAAAGAGATGCAGGAGGGTTGTGACAGGGGATTGGCCGCACCTGATTGCAGGGCTGAGACGTCCCCATGAGACGGGCCAGGGAGCCAAGACAGGCAGAACAGGGAAACAGACAGCCGGCGGGACAGACTGGCCGAGCATTTGACAGCAGGTACAGGTCACCTCCCTAGTGATCACATCAAGGCCTCAGCTGTATTTCAGCTCCAGGCCCAGAAAAGCAGCAAAACCCAGTGGGCGAAGCCAAGACCAGCTGCAATGACGAACAGCCCTGCCCTGGCGCTGACCAATCAGTGAGGACCTCGACCCTGAAAGGGCACAGCAGGAAGCGGACGAGTATTCTGCTGAGACCTCCCCTACGATCCAATCCGCCTGCAGGAGAGACGGAGCTCTCGGAGCTCGACACAAAGGACCAGGCGGGCACTTCCTCTGGAACAGCCCCGCCACTCCCTCTCCCCCCTTGCTCTCCCGCAGGCCAGGCGAGCATCTCCTGAACCCTAACGGACCTTGCGACCTGGGGACCACTGGGCAGCGGCAGCTCGTCCCAGGCTCACTCCCTGACCCCGTCTGGCAGAGAGCTAGGGCGGCCCCGCCTGGCTCTCCGGCTGCTTCTCCATGCTAGGCCCTTCCTGTTCACGGTCCCTTGTCGTCACCTGGACTCGCGTTGTGACATCTTTCCTGCAGGAAGTCAAGAACCCACACACCACCTGCTGGCCTGAGGCAGACCCGCCAGGGGCCAGGTCCCCTTTCCGGTCACACCTCGACCAGCTGCCCGTTAGCAGGAAGCTCAGGGAAGTGCTGAGGTGGTTCCAGTCCAAGGCCAGAGGCCGAGAACCGTGCCCCAGGGTAGGAGCAGAGCTGCCCTCCCCTGCGTCCCTGTTCCACCCAGGCCCTCAGCGACGGGTGGTGCCTGCACCGGTGAGGGCCTCTTATTGACTCAGCCCGGTGGCAGGGAGGACCTGGGGGCCAACCATGCTTCCTGAGGGGGAGCCCACAGGGACTGCGCTTGGCCAGCATCTCGGATGGGACGGGAGATTTGTTTTTTTGGGGGGAAAAATAGCTTTTTATTGATTTCAGAGAGGAAGGGAGAGGGAGAGAGAGACACATCAATGATGAGAGAGCATCATTGATCGACTCCCTCCTGCAGGCCCCCTATTGGGGATCGAACAGTAACCCAGGCATGTGCCCTGACCAGGAATTGAACCCGTGACCTCCAGGTTCATAGGTCGATGCTCAACCACGGAGCCAGGCCGGCCGGGCAGGACAGGAGATTCTTACGCAATTTTGAGAACCACTGGCCCAAGGACCACGGGTTGTACCACAGGCAATGAGGTCGGTACCACGTGTTCTGTGAGCTCTCTCAGAACCCAGCCTCCGCCACAGAGGCAGCTGATCTGCGGGGGAGGGAGGGAGAAGGGGAGGGGGCTGCTGAGAGACCCACCCCCGGCACACCAGGCCTTGCTCCCGTCCCAGGAACCCCTCTGAGGTGGTATAATTAGCCCCGTCTGACAGGTGAGGAGACTGAGACGCAGAGGTTTACTAACTCGCCCAGCTCAGAAGGAGCAGCGTCCAGATCCAGACCCACAGCGTGGACTCCAAGTACTGTTGCCTGCCTCGGCCCGCCAGCTCGGCTCACGGGAACTGCAGGCGGGGACCCGGGGCTGCCAGGGGCTGGAGGAAGGAGAGCCGAAGCTGAGCAGTGCCCCCGGGCGCCCAGAGACCCCTCCAGGCTTTACCCACCATGCGGCATCGCCCCCAGCACTGCAGGCGGACAGAAGCGTCCCGGGGGGAAGTTCCACCACCCACGTCAAGCATGTGAAACTCCTGGCCGCCGGCTGTGACTTGGACATGCTTGACCCACGTGAACACTGCGCAAGGCCCTGGACTCACTCTCTGGAGAACGGGAAACCCAAGACAGGCACCGTGAGTCCTAACCGAGGTGACTATGGAAGAGCGTGGCTCCGTGGGTGAGCACTGACCTACGAGCCAGGAGGTCCGAGTTCCATTTCCCATCAGGGCCCAGGCCCGGGTCGTGGGCTTGATCCTCAGTAGAGGGCGTGCAGGAGGCAGCTGCTCAGTGATTCGCTCTCGTCATTGATGTTTTTCTCTCTCCCTCCCTCTCCCTTCCTCCCTGAAATCAATAAAAATATATTTTGAAAAAAGATTTAAAAATGTGAGAGCGTGATCGTTGGGGAAGACCCGACAGACACCCAGTGCCATCCCTGTCATCGTCTGCTGGCGCACGAGATCCCACAGGGCCACGCCGTCACGTCTGCACGCCGCGTGGAAACACGCGGCCCTGCTCTTTCTGGGCCACTGTTGTTAGAATTTGTCTTTTTTTTTAAAAAAGGCACCGTAAGAGAAAGTGAGGCGACAGTGGCCTCTGGTGGACGTGAGCGGTA